ATTTTACTTATTTATTTTTTTTAAAAGTCCATTTACATTTTATAAATTCCGACTTAGGTTGTTTAAACCTCAACAGATTTGAATAAAACATGGCGGTTCGTATAGCTTAAACAATGCATACTCATGGTCTGAAATATACATACGCATCAAGATAATGCATAAAATATGCATTCGATTTTAAGCATAGTAATTCAATACAAAACAACAAATAAAAATGCCAGCCCATTGAATTCTTTTAAGTTCACTTAACTTTAATTTTTGAAAGAAAACTTGGCACATAAATCGGGATTATTAATGCGTGGTTCGTACGCCATCTTAAATCGAAACGGAGGATAAACTAACGGAGAAAAAATAAAATAAAACTTTCATTTGATATGGTGAATTGGTTTCGAAAAAAGCTCCTTTTGGCACTTGCATTAGAATTCTTTCTTTACTTGATCGTTTTTTTTTTTAACACAGGAAATTATTTTAGCAAATTTTTTCGATAACTGAAACTAATCTACTTTCGCCTGTTATAAAAATAGTTTTATTCTTATATCCACAGGAGAAAAGGGAGAATAATTTTAAGACAAATAAATTTTGAAGAGACTTTTCTTGAAAATGGATCCTTGATCAAAGATTAAATATTTAATTGATGAGTTACTTTGAAATAATTATCTTCTTCTTGATAATTACTGTATTGCGTGTAAAATTAGAATGTCTCGCGTATTTATCTGAAGGGTGTTTCACAGTTGTGAAAGTTGATTGACAATAGTACCTTATAAGAACCATTCATCAAATCATTAAATAGAATGGAATATTTTATTTAAAATGTCAGTGAAATGTTCTAACTTTAAAAACAAATAATATNTTATAAAATATATTCTCATGTAAATATTTATAATATTTTTTTTATCTTAATACATATATAATATTGGATAAATATATAACATTAATGAAATATTTTATTCATATTATATACTTAATATGTGAAGGGTTTGGGTGTAAAAGATGATAAGTGCCATTTCCTAGTACATTACAATGTGTGCACTAATAGCTAAACAGCAATGTATTTCAATTTAATTATTATATGTACTTTTTAACTATAATATAATTAAAGTAAATAAACCAGAAAATCTTGGACTGCATCCAAAACATCTGAAAAGAAGGTCAAAGTCTTCAAAATGTGGATATACCAAAGATTTAAGGGTATTCCTGGCTGCATGTGACCAATGTAGAAATATTCCGATGAATGGATGAATAACAAAAACTGCTCACTACCATCAAACAAAGAAACTTGAAATACTTAAGCCATATGATGAGAAATGGCATCAAGTACCAAACCCTACAACTCATTATACAAGAGAAAATCTCTGGAAAAAGAGAGCCAGGACAATGTCAAATCTCATGGCTGATAACTTGATGGACTGGTGTGAAATGTCTTTGGAAGAATTGTTCAGAAGAGTCAGCAATAGGAATAAGTTAACCAGGATGACAGCCAACATCCAGAATGAATAGAGCATCAAAAGAAGAAGAAAGTAGAAAACTTCTTAAGACATGTAATTTTACTATTTTTTCTAAATTTTCATTGGGCTGCTTACCATCTTTTATACCTAAATCCTTCATATGTTAATAAATATAATTAGTTATAATTATATTTATGTTATAATTTTATCCAGTCAATTGTCCAATTTTTAATTTCAATTTGTACTTGATAATCAGCTATGTAAATAAAAAAAGATTTTTTAAAAAATATTATCTGTATTATGATGTGATGTAATTTTTATCTATTATTTCTTTTGTAAAAAATAAATATTAATAAGACTGAAGAGGGGTCATTAAATGACTGAAATGCACTTCCTCCATTAATAAAACCTATACCAATAACTGTTCCTAGTGTGATAAGTTATTGGGGGAAGACAAATATTTTATGTTTTTAAAAAATCCACAGAAACCAGTAATGGAACAATTAATTAAATATTAAGTGTACAATACAATTATTTTACATAACTAATAAATATTTTTGTTGATTCGAAAGGAAAAAACAAATGCACACATATACACACCAACTTCTAACTGAATCATAAATTTTATTTCTTTTAACATTTATTATAACTTTTTAACAAAAAGATAATAATTATACAATACAGATATATAACATAACAATTACAGAATTTTTATAAACCAACTAATATTTGTTTCAATTATTTTTAAAATAATTGTTTAAATGGTAATTCAATTATAAAACAATTTAAATATATCATTATTATAATTGAAAACATTACAATAAGACCAATATTATCCTCATTTCTATTGTTGCTAAAATATTTACTTATATAATTAATTAAACATCTTAATGGCTTTCATTTAAAAAGTTTTTCAATATTTTTTAAATTCCAATTATATTTTAATAATAATTACACTTAAAAATAGTAAAATTTTTATTTAAAAATACTCAATTATTTTTTCTAAATTATCTAACAATAAAAATCATTATTTATTAAATCCAATATTTTAATCATTATTAAAAAATATTTGAAACGATAGCTTCATCCAAAGTACCTGCATAATCCATTCTTCTAAACATTAAGTTAATAAATGCTGCAAGAATATTTTATTAAAACTTTCAATCTACTGATTAAATAGTAATATTTAAATATATATATTTATTGATGAAAACCAAAAAACTCACTTTGGTTAAATTGCATCAAATAAAGCATTAGTAGAAAAATCTTTGCAAGGAGACCAAAGGCCATCAGCATACTAAAAATAATAATTTATAAATATTTATATCACATGTATTTATACATTTTAAATTTATTAAACTAATTCTAAAACTCACATGAAAATTAGGACTGGAATTAATTTTGGGCGAGTGCCAAATGGAGTTTGTTTGTCTTGATTCAGATAATTTTAACATATTAATACTAAAATCTAAAAGTTAGAAGTAGAAATTAATGTATTTTCAAATAATTTAATAAATATCATAATACAAATAAACTAAAAAAGTTTGTTTAAAGAAAAATTTTAATATGCTAAGTGTAATTAAAATATTGAAACTAATAAATCAGTGTAAAATAAACAATTTTAAATAACATTAAAATGTATATTTTATAAATTTACAGTGATTCTTACTTGCAGAAGTAAGTACTGGATCTTGTTCTTGGATTAAATAATCACATGAATTATTATCAGTTGTATTTTTTACATGTGAAAAGGGTGTAAATTGTGATTTATTTTTATTTTCAGTATTCTATAAAAAGTAAACAAAATACAGTAAAAAAACAAAATTTTATATTCTTATATTTTAAAAAATTATTAAAGTTATTAATTTTAATAAGTATCATTTAAAATTTTAATTGTGTACAGCTAGGTCTCAATTAATGAAAATTCAAATAATACACTATTTGATTTAGTGTGAATTATATAAATTATACCATGGCCTGGGCACTGTTTCTACAGAATAGTTTAAATATGAGACTTTTTAATTACACAGGGTGCCTGTCTAAATAGCTATCCAGGGGCAAAAAACATTTTTCCAGTATTGGTTTGGCATCACAAAACAGAACTGTAGGAAAAAAAAACTTATCTATACCCACATTTCTCAACCAGTGGTCCATGGTCCATTGTTTTAGGGGTTTATGAGTGATAAATCTGATCCATAGTGTAGATCAGTGGTTCTCAATGTTCCTCCTCTCATAAACCCCTAAAATAATGGACCATGGACCACTGGTTGAGAAATGTGGGTGTAGATAACACTATTGGTTTGGTTAAGTAAGTTGGATTGTGGACTGTAGTAGATACAAATATACTGGATATATTACCATGATGTGATATGCACTCATTCTGCTGCTATCTGCAACCAGTACAACATGCAGAGAATGCCAACAGTAATTTGAGTGATGCATGATATTAAAATTTAGTGTGACAAACTACAGTTCTATCAGAACATTTTATGTATAGAAAATAGTACCTCATCAGTATATAAAATGTACTGATAAGGCATTATTTTCTTTACATAAAATGTTCTGATGGAATCATAAAAAAATCTGATGGAATGGAGTGTGTAATCATTACAATAATCACTGCTGTGTAGACCTGATCCACAATGTACACAACACTAAATGCATTTTACTCTAAATATTTACTGTAGAATTTGAGGCGAGCAGTTCTTAGTTCTGCATTCATCCTAAATATGATGGTGGAAGATGTTGGAATCAACGATCAAAATTACTGTTAAATGCTATACGACATCATTACATACAATGGTGATGTTTTGCAAATGTTTTTCCATTATGTAATAAAAGGTTGGTGGCACTGTTGACCCCTCAGGAAGCCATTAGAGATGGTGACCTTGTTCCACTCTCCTCTTTTCAGCACTGACCTTCCATGAGTCAAGATAATGTAATCTTTGTGTATTCTTTGTTACATAACCAGTTATGTGAGTCCAAATAGTTTTTAATTATCTCCAACAAGCAACATCAAGTCTAACAGATGAATGGCTTGATGACTTGTCATTGGTGTGACTGGAGCTGGCTTGGTACCAGCACAATGGTGTGCCACCTCATTCCTGGACAGACATGCATCAGTGACTTGCAGAGTGGTTTAACAACTGGTGGATGGGGCAACAGAACCCTATTCCATGGCAATGATGACTTGTCCCCTCTGGATTTTTCCTGTAGGGTTACCTAAAAGTATCAATGTATGATGTGTATCCAGCAGTACCATGCAATGTTGGCAAACTAAAGAGATTCATACAATGGTGATATCCATAATCCCATGTTCAATTGTTTACATCTATGTATTGCCACTAAAGATGGTTGTTTTGAACATGTTATGCTCACCAGCAGTTGAGTGGATAACACTACTGAACACTGGAACACCATTCAAATGCTTCTGTTCAAACCATTTGATTTAATAGCTGCATTCAAACTGTGAAGGTCTTTTAGCCTAATGGTGACCATTCAACATGAGTGAAAATGTTTGCTTTTATAGATTTTTGTAGTTTCTTGCTGGATATTGGTTTTATGTGTAGTGCTTATTTATATATACTTAGTTTAAGTTGCTGAATCTGAAAAGGCTTCCTGTAAATGCAGAAGCCACTCTTACTCAAAGAAATAAGATTTAAAATCATAAAACATCATTGCACAAAACTATGCACAAGTCATCTCCATTGCCATTTCCAGTCATAAAGGCATCACTTCCATTTGTGTACAGTAGACCCCCCTATAATGTGGGTTCCTATAATGGGATTCCTATAACGTGCTGAAAAAATTTTGACAGTATTCGTAAAAAGACGCTAAAAGGAACTCGTAAAATGTCGTCGCCGACTCGTGTCGCAACATGATTGGTCGAATCTGGACCAATAGTAGACGAGCAGCCAAACTACTTACATGCTACAGAGAGTTTAGGCAAGTAAGTTGAGTTTACTATCGTCTGTACAGTATTATACAAGGTCTGTTCAAAAAGTATTGGACCTTTGGTCGGTAAAAATAAATTTATTGACTGAGGTATAAAACCCTAATCCCCTTCAAAGTAGTCTCCTTGGTAATGTATACACTTCTCCCAGCGTTCCTGCCATTGCTGGAAACACTGCTGGAACGCATCTTTTGGAATGGCCATCAGCCGCTCCATCGGATTTTGCACGATGTCTCCTCTCGACTAAATTCGGGTTCCTTTTAGTGGCATTTTCAGCTTGGGAACTAGCCAAAGGTCACACAGCCATGTGGGGAGAGTACGGAGTGTGACGAACCACAGGAGTGTTGTGTTTGCCAACGAAAGCCCGAATCAGATGCGCAGAATGGGCGGATGCGTTATCACGATGGAGCTGCCAAGTTTTGATCGACCACAGATCCGGTCGTTTGCATCGCACAGCATCGGAAAGACAACGAAGGACCTTCTGGTAGTACTCCTTTGCGATGGTTTGGCCTTGCGGTGCGTACTCACAACACACCACCCCACTAGAGTCGAAAAAACTGTTAACATGATTTTTGATATTGCTGTGGACCTGCCGCGCTTTTTTTGGCCTCGAGGATCGTCCCCGAAAGCCTGCTGAATCTTGCGAATGATTTACGTTCGGGTATCGCCAAAGTTTTTGGCAAAATTTGATGTAATATTGCTGCTCACGTTGTTCAGTCATTTTCCAGCTTAGTGGAATCCGACGAGAGCGCACTATATGACCTCACTCATAGGCCAATTGCCAACAACTGACGCTTTCTGCAGGCGGGAAAAAATTCAGGGCTGTGCATGACTGTCCCCTCCACAACTCCACCGAAGGAGGACTGTCGCGCATCATTGGTTTACGCGGAATAAAAAACCGATACTTTTTGAACAGACCTTGTATATAAATTAGGTACTGTATATATAATTATATATTAACTTAATTTATTTTAACATTATTATAATTATATATATACTTTCCGCCGTCCAGCGCCACGCTACAGAGAGTTTAGGCAAGTAAGTTGAGTTTACTATCGTCTATACAGTATGTAAATTAGATACCGTAAATCTAATATAGTACTGTAATTTTATACATTTCTTGTGAAAGAAATATTTCTTATTCAACGGCCATAAAAATTGTTTATATTGATGATGTTTCCAAAGTTCAACGAATTTTTCGCAGAAAAATAACTTATCAGAAATCGCGCCCGCTGTTTGGTGCGCTGCTCCGTGACGAAAACAAGCTTAAGCAATGGCGACGTCGAACGGTGCACTCAGTAAGTAATCCTACAATTTTTTGTTTACAGCATAGTTTATACAGATTATTCCCAAAAAATTATACAAGTTTTGGAAATGTTGAGTCGAATTAGTCTAGAATCGATTAATTTTATGGACGAAAACCTTTCAAACAGCCGTAGTCCGTAAACTTCACACGTGTCGGGCTGCGATTGGCTCACGTATTTAAGGATTCCTACGTGAAATTCTTATAAAGTGGAATGTATCTACCACGCTATAGGGGGGTCTACTGTATTTGCAAATGGTAACAGACTGGATGATTAGTGACATCTCTTGGTGAAAATGCTTAATAAGAATTGCTTTACTACATACATTTTGCTGTAGGAGGATTGGTCAAAAATTTGCAGAAAATATCTTTTAAAATTGCCCCTTTGCAATACTGTTTTACACCCATGAGTTGGTAGAGGTCTCTGAAACTCACATGTAAGATGGCAATCTGTTTCGACATCACAGAGATGCACAATTCTTCTACAAGTGCATCAATCCAGCCTATCTTGACTTCCTTAATTTAACTGAACATGACAAGAAAGTTGCAATTTTGCCTGGGAGATTCAGCAGTGCAGTGTCTCAACTCTTCAACAAGCACTTTGCAAGTGAGCTCCATCCCAGACTACTGTGTACAAGTGTATCAGCACTTTTAATCTGGGTGCTTCAACCTTGATTTCATGTTCATTGTTGATGTCATCAACAATGAACATGAAAGGCATCCAAGAGCTGTGGTAATTCCAGAGAACATTGATGCTGCTAAAGCCCTGCTTGATGAAGACCAATGGATAAGTACCAGACAGCCAGAATGCAATCTCAACATCTTGCATGAGTCAGTAATTATCATCTTATATGAATATCTGCATATGAGAAAGTTGTGTGCATGTTAGGTACCTCATCATTTGCAGCAGAACCATATAAAGAACTGTGTGAATTTTTACAAGTTTATGCTGGAAAAGTTTAATGGATGTCAGAAACAGTTACCAAAATACTTACAGGTAATGAAATTTGGATCCTGTAAATCCATAAAACTGTAACCATGACTGGAAAAGTCATGGTCACAGTTTTTTTCTGCCGGTGTGGCATCCTTCCACTTGTCATCCTTGAACAAGGTGCTATGGTGACTGAGAAATGGTACTCTTCTGTTTGTTTGTGAAAAGTGCTTCAGTCACTCAAAGAAGAATGTCCAAGATCCAAGCTTTGCAACATCAAGATAAATCATGATAATTCTCTTGGACACAGAGCCAAAGTGATCCAGTTGTTTTTGAAGTCATGCAAGGTTGTCTGGCTTTCCCAGCCTGCTTATTTGCCAGACCTGGCACCTTTAACTTCTCTTCCCACAGATAAAGAGAAATTTAAAAGGAAGGAAATTTGATTCAAAGGAGGAATTGGTGAATGTGATGACAGCAAAATTACTCAAAATAAAATTTAACAAAATTTACTGCCAGGACGACAATTATAATTTTGGAAAAATTACAAAATTTCCTATAGATGAACTCAACAAGTGTCATTTTTCCTTTGTCCCTTCGTACACCAACAGGAAATAACAATGTGGTGGAGTCACCACCATAAGATTTGTTATTTCCTGTTGGTGTACAACCTTTATCTGGAGGATGGTGTACGAAGGGACAAAGGAAGTGGGACATTCGTAGTGTTCATCCATGGGAAATTTTGTAGTTTTTAAATTTAGAGTTACTCAAGTTTTCAGAGGCGTATTTGCAAAAGTGTTTTTGAACTGGTTTTCAAGAATGAAGAAATGCATTGATTCTAATAGAAAATATTTTGAAAAACAAAGATATCTGTATACAAAAACTGAGAATGATATCTGACAACCTTAACAAGTGTTTTCTGCAAATTTTTTAATCACCCCTCTATACAACATACATTTTCCACATCCAAAAACTTTTTCAGTTACCCACATTATAACTTCAAATAATGCAAATTTGAATAACATGCTCATAGGATTTATTATCTGCACTAATCAAGACCTAGCTATGTATTACTGGTATTCAACATTTTAGCTTACTTGATCTAATGTCTTAAATAGGTAACATTGCGAAATAGTACACACATCAGGAACTTCATATACTAGATTATGATTATTTTCTTTTTTCTGTTTAGGAATACAAATGATATTGCTATTAGGAGATAATAATTTGGCATAATTAATTTCTTGAAAAGACATTTTGACTTCTTCAGGAACTTTCTGATCACTTTTACATAAAAACTCATCACTTAAAGCAGAATTATTAGTAATATTAGAATATTCATCTGATTTTTCTGGAACTAAAATATTTTTAAAATTATTATATTGAAGATTAAGATTTGTAGGAACTTCTTGACAATTTTCTTCAAATTTGAGATTAATTTGCCTCAAATTATCATTAAGATATTCTAAAGTTGATTCATCCTGATCTAACTGACATTTCAGATTTGTTTTTTTCACATCTGAAGATTCAGTACAATTTGACTGTGAAGAATTATGCCATTTATTTAGGAACAATTCAGGATCAAAGTTTTCAAACTGATCATCAGTCATTAAATTTTGAAATTTTACTGTAATATCTTCCGGATAGTTTTCTTTATTCTCCTCATACTTCATAATAGATGATGGAGAAATTATATTAGCCCAAGTATTAGATAAATTTGTTTGTTTAGAATCATATATACAATTAGACACGTTTAAAGGTGCCTCAAATATTTTTTCTTGTTGAATACTCATAGTTAAAAATTCTGAAAAAAGAAGACNACTTTCTTCTTCTGTCACATCTATTGTCAGTTTAGTGTAAAGTATGAACTGGCATACCTTAAGTTGTTGGTTGAAGCAAAGTTTCTTTAGACGTAATTTTATTTGATGTTAATCCATTAGTAGAAACCTCTTTGCTATAACTTTTAATTTTATTATAAAATATATATCATGTTGTAATATATATTTATTTAAAAACTCTCTAACAAAAATTATAAATAAATATCTCACTACTATGGATTAGGTTATAAAATTAATTAAATACATTGTAAATTTAGAGAACTAAAAATGTATTTTTTGAATCCTGATGTGAACAGCCACATTTCTTATGACTTTCTTCTTCTGTCACATCTATTGTCAGTTTAGTGTAAAGTATGAACTGGCATACCTTAAGTTGTTGGTTGAAGCAAAGTTTCTTTAGACGTAATTTTATTTGATGTTAATCCATTAGTAGAAACCTCTTTGCTATAACTTTTAATTTTATTATAAAATATATATCATGTTGTAATATATATTTATTTAAAAACTCTCTAACAAAAATTATAAATAAATATCTCACTACTATGGATTAGGTTATAAAATTAATTAAATACATTGTAAATTTAGAGAACTAAAAATGTATTTTTTGAATCCTGATGTGAACAGCCACATTTCTTATGACTTTCTTCTTCTGTCACATCTATTGTCAGTTTAGTGTAAAGTATGAACTGGCATACCTTAAGTTGTTGGTTGAAGCAAAGTTTCTTTAGACGTAATTTTATTTGATGTTAATCCATTAGTAGAAACCTCTTTGCTATAACTTTTAATTTTATTATAAAATATATATCATGTTGTAATATATATTTATTTAAAAACTCTCTAACAAAAATTATAAATAAATATCTCACTACTATGGATTAGGTTATAAAATTAATTAAATACATTGTAAATTTAGAGAACTAAAAATGTATTTTTTGAATCCTGATGTGAACAGCCACATTTCTTATGACTTTCTTCTTCTGTCACATCTATTGTCAGTTTAGTGTAAAGTATGAACTGGCATACCTTAAGTTGTTGGTTGAAGCAAAGTTTCTTTAGACGTAATTTTATTTGATGTTAATCCATTAGTAGAAACCTCTTTGCTATAACTTTTAATTTTATTATAAAATATATATCATGTTGTAATATATATTTATTTAAAAACTCTCTAACAAAAATTATAAATAAATATCTCACTACTATGGATTAGGTTATAAAATTAATTAAATACATTGTAAATTTAGAGAACTAAAAATGTATTTTTTGAATCCTGATGTGAACAGCCACATTTCTTATGACTTTCTTCTTCTGTCACATCTATTGTCAGTTTAGTGTAAAGTATGAACTGGCATACCTTAAGTTGTTGGTTGAAGCAAAGTTTCTTTAGACGTAATTTTATTTGATGTTAATCCATTAGTAGAAACCTCTTTGCTATAACTTTTAATTTTATTATAAAATATATATCATGTTGTAATATATATTTATTTAAAAACTCTCTAACAAAAATTATAAATAAATATCTCACTACTATGGATTAGGTTATAAAATTAATTAAATACATTGTAAATTTAGAGAACTAAAAATGTATTTTTTGAATCCTGATGTGAACAGCCACATTTCTTATGACTTTCTTCTTCTGTCACATCTATTGTCAGTTTAGTGTAAAGTATGAACTGGCATACCTTAAGTTGTTGGTTGAAGCAAAGTTTCTTTAGACGTAATTTTATTTGATGTTAATCCATTAGTAGAAACCTCTTTGCTATAACTTTTAATTTTATTATAAAATATATATCATGTTGTAATATATATTTATTTAAAAACTCTCTAACAAAAATTATAAATAAATATCTCACTACTATGGATTAGGTTATAAAATTAATTAAATACATTGTAAATTTAGAGAACTAAAAATGTATTTTTTGAATCCTGATGTGAACAGCCACATTTCTTATGACTTTCTTCTTCTGTCACATCTATTGTCAGTTTAGTGTAAAGTATGAACTGGCATACCTTAAGTTGTTGGTTGAAGCAAAGTTTCTTTAGACGTAATTTTATTTGATGTTAATCCATTAGTAGAAACCTCTTTGCTATAACTTTTAATTTTATTATAAAATATATATCATGTTGTAATATATATTTATTTAAAAACTCTCTAACAAAAATTATAAATAAATATCTCACTACTATGGATTAGGTTATAAAATTAATTAAATACATTGTAAATTTAGAGAACTAAAAATGTATTTTTTGAATCCTGATGTGAACAGCCACATTTCTTATGACTTTCTTCTTCTGTCACATCTATTGTCAGTTTAGTGTAAAGTATGAACTGGCATACCTTAAGTTGTTGGTTGAAGCAAAGTTTCTTTAGACGTAATTTTATTTGATGTTAATCCATTAGTAGAAACCTCTTTGCTATAACTTTTAATTTTATTATAAAATATATATCATGTTGTAATATATATTTATTTAAAAACTCTCTAACAAAAATTATAAATAAATATCTCACTACTATGGATTAGGTTATAAAATTAATTAAATACATTGTAAATTTAGAGAACTAAAAATGTATTTTTTGAATCCTGATGTGAACAGCCACATTTCTTATGACTTTCTTCTTCTGTCACATCTATTGTCAGTTTAGTGTAAAGTATGAACTGGCATACCTTAAGTTGTTGGTTGAAGCAAAGTTTCTTTAGACGTAATTTTATTTGATGTTAATCCATTAGTAGAAACCTCTTTGCTATAACTTTTAATTTTATTATAAAATATATATCATGTTGTAATATATATTTATTTAAAAACTCTCTAACAAAAATTATAAATAAATATCTCACTACTATGGATTAGGTTATAAAATTAATTAAATACATTGTAAATTTAGAGAACTAAAAATGTATTTTTTGAATCCTGATGTGAACAGCCACATTTCTTATGACTTTCTTCTTCTGTCACATCTATTGTCAGTTTAGTGTAAAGTATGAACTGGCATACCTTAAGTTGTTGGTTGAAGCAAAGTTTCTTTAGACGTAATTTTATTTGATGTTAATCCATTAGTAGAAACCTCTTTGCTATAACTTTTAATTTTATTATAAAATATATATCATGTTGTAATATATATTTATTTAAAAACTCTCTAACAAAAATTATAAATAAATATCTCACTACTATGGATTAGGTTATAAAATTAATTAAATACATTGTAAATTTAGAGAACTAAAAATGTATTTTTTGAATCCTGATGTGAACAGCCACATTTCTTATGACTTTCTTCTTCTGTCACATCTATTGTCAGTTTAGTGTAAAGTATGAACTGGCATACCTTAAGTTGTTGGTTGAAGCAAAGTTTCTTTAGACGTAATTTTATTTGATGTTAATCCATTAGTAGAAACCTCTTTGCTATAACTTTTAATTTTATTATAAAATATATATCATGTTGTAATATATATTTATTTAAAAACTCTCTAACAAAAATTATAAATAAATATCTCACTACTATGGATTAGGTTATAAAATTAATTAAATACATTGTAAATTTAGAGAACTAAAAATGTATTTTTTGAATCCTGATGTGAACAGCCACATTTCTTATGACTTTCTTCTTCTGTCACATCTATTGTCAGTTTAGTGTAAAGTATGAACTGGCATACCTTAAGTTGTTGGTTGAAGCAAAGTTTCTTTAGACGTAATTTTATTTGATGTTAATCCATTAGTAGAAACCTCTTTGCTATAACTTTTAATTTTATTATAAAATATATATCATGTTGTAATATATATTTATTTAAAAACTCTCTAACAAAAATTATAAATAAATATCTCACTACTATGGATTAGGTTATAAAATTAATTAAATACATTGTAAATTTAGAGAACTAAAAATGTATTTTTTGAATCCTGATGTGAACAGCCACATTTCTTATGACTTTCTTCTTCTGTCACATCTATTGTCAGTTTAGTGTAAAGTATGAACTGGCATACCTTAAGTTGTTGGTTGAAGCAAAGTTTCTTTAGACGTAATTTTATTTGATGTTAATCCATTAGTAGAAACCTCTTTGCTATAACTTTTAATTTTATTATAAAATATATATCATGTTGTAATATATATTTATTTAAAAACTCTCTAACAAAAATTATAAATAAATATCTCACTACTATGGATTAGGTTATAAAATTAATTAAATACATTGTAAATTTAGAGAACTAAAAATGTATTTTTTGAATCCTGATGTGAACAGCCACATTTCTTATGACTTTCTTCTTCTGTCACATCTATTGTCAGTTTAGTGTAAAGTATGAACTGGCATACCTTAAGTTGTTGGTTGAAGCAAAGTTTCTTTAGACGTAATTTTATTTGATGTTAATCCATTAGTAGAAACCTCTTTGCTATAACTTTTAATTTTATTATAAAATATATATCATGTTGTAATATATATTTATTTAAAAACTCTCTAACAAAAATTATAAATAAATATCTCACTACTATGGATTAGGTTATAAAATTAATTAAATACATTGTAAATTTAGAGAACTAAAAATGTATTTTTTGAATCCTGATGTGAACAGCCACATTTCTTATGACTTTCTTCTTCTGTCACATCTATTGTCAGTTTAGTGTAAAGTATGAACTGGCATACCTTAAGTTGTTGGTTGAAGCAAAGTTTCTTTAGACGTAATTTTATTTGATGTTAATCCATTAGTAGAAACCTCTTTGCTATAACTTTTAATTTTATTATAAAATATATATCATGTTGTAATATATATTTATTTAAAAACTCTCTAACAAAAATTATAAATAAATATCTCACTACTATGGATTAGGTTATAAAATTAATTAAATACATTGTAAATTTAGAGAACTAAAAATGTATTTTTTGAATCCTGATGTGAACAGCCACATTTCTTATGACTTTCTTCTTCTGTCACATCTATTGTCAGTTTAGTGTAAAGTATGAACTGGCATACCTTAAGTTGTTGGTTGAAGCAAAGTTTCTTTAGACGTAATTTTATTTGATGTTAATCCATTAGTAGAAACCTCTTTGCTATAACTTTTAATTTTATTATAAAATATATATCATGTTGTAATATATATTTATTTAAAAACTCTCTAACAAAAATTATAAATAAATATCTCACTACTATGGATTAGGTTATAAAATTAATTAAATACATTGTAAATTTAGAGAACTAAAAATGTATTTTTTGAATCCTGATGTGAACAGCCACATTTCTTATGACTTTCTTCTTCTGTCACATCTATTGTCAGTTTAGTGTAAAGTATGAACTGGCATACCTTAAGTTGTTGGTTGAAGCAAAGTTTCTTTAGACGTAATTTTATTTGATGTTAATCCATTAGTAGAAACCTCTTTGCTATAACTTTTAATTTTATTATAAAATATATATCATGTTGTAATATATATTTATTTAAAAACTCTCTAACAAAAATTATAAATAAATATCTCACTACTATGGATTAGGTTATAAAATTAATTAAATACATTGTAAATTTAGAGAACTAAAAATGTATTTTTTGAATCCTGATGTGAACAGCCACATTTCTTATGACTTTCTTCTTCTGTCACATCTATTGTCAGTTTAGTGTAAAGTATGAACTGGCATACCTTAAGTTGTTGGTTGAAGCAAAGTTTCTTTAGACGTAATTTTATTTGATGTTAATCCATTAGTAGAAACCTCTTTGCTATAACTTTTAATTTTATTATAAAATATATATCATGTTGTAATATATATTTATTTAAAAACTCTCTAACAAAAATTATAAATAAATATCTCACTACTATGGATTAGGTTATAAAATTAATTAAATACATTGTAAATTTAGAGAACTAAAAATGTATTTTTTGAATCCTGATGTGAACAGCCACATTTCTTATGACTTTCTTCTTCTGTCACATCTATTGTCAGTTTAGTGTAAAGTATGAACTGGCATACCTTAAGTTGTTGGTTGAAGCAAAGTTTCTTTAGACGTAATTTTATTTGATGTTAATCCATTAGTAGAAACCTCTTTGCTATAACTTTTAATTTTATTATAAAATATATATCATGTTGTAATATATATTTATTTAAAAACTCTCTAACAAAAATTATAAATAAATATCTCACTACTATGGATTAGGTTATAAAATTAATTAAATACATTGTAAATTTAGAGAACTAAAAATGTATTTTTTGAATCCTGATGTGAACAGCCACATTTCTTATGACTTTCTTCTTCTGTCACATCTATTGTCAGTTTAGTGTAAAGTATGAACTGGCATACCTTAAGTTGTTTGTACAATTTTTTAAACAAGATCAATGCTTATCAGTTTCAATGTTCATACCGGTTACAGAAAAAAAAATGTTATTTATGGAAATTTTACTATTTCTGTTATATAAAGCATGTACTGAAGAGCAGTGGTGCACTCAAAATTTATTCTTGGGGGAGCTGAGTTGAACAGATAAAACATTTTTAATGTGAATTCAATAAAATTCCCACTTCATGTGACCGCTAATTCATAAGTAGTACATAAATAGAAGTCACGGAACAATATAAATAAAAAATTAATTTTAATTAGTAAAAAATTTTTGGAAATTTTTCTAGTATTTATTTTCCATTTTCTTTGGAGGATGTCAGGGCCCTTGGCTCTGACCACCACCACTGCTGAAGAGAGACTAAAGCCCAAAATGTATTTATATTAAGAGTGGTAATAAAATATATTGGATGATACTCTCATATGCTTAGTCCTTTTGTCAATCAGAAGAAATGTGGATATTCAGATCAAATTCGAAAAATACATTTTTTAGTTTTTTAAATTTATGATGTATTTCTGGTTTAATAAACAAATATCTACATATTTTTAATAAAATTTAAATGACAGTATATTTTTAAAATTATGTTTCTAATTTAGACAGAATTAGAAACATAATAGTTTGTTATTAATTTTGAAATCAACAAATATTGAAAACTTACATTTTTGAGGAGGATCTTTTCTCACAAGACCAATTTAGTGGTTCATAAGCCTTTGTATCATCATCAAAAGTTTCTATTTCATTTAAAATGTTACGTCTTACATTTGTCATATATTTCTTCCTACGTTTAGGTTCACTGTATGAAAAGAAGCCTTTATTTTCAGAGCACAAAGATCGTTTCCGAGAAGAACTAAGTGGTGTAGCAGGACAAGAAATAAAGGCTCGATCATAACAAAATTGACTAATAGGTGTTGAAAATTCTCTTATATTTCCAAAACTTTTCTGAAGGCTTTCTTTTTTAAGTGTTTTTGTAGAAGCTTTGGATACGCTAGATTATTATTTGAAACAAAATAATTAATAATAAATAAATATTAGTAAATAAACAGTTAATAATAGTTAGTAAATATATAGCAGTAAAAACATATTATTTCAATATAATTTCATTCAAAATAAAAAAGGCAATTGATAAAATTAATCAATTAAAACAAATATCATCTTTAAAAAATAAAATATATACAGTCAACTTTGCCTTAAAACAAACATTAAAAGTGCTCAGCAGGTAAACACAGAAATTAAAACACCTTAATTTGTTGCTGAGAAATATATTTGAAAAACAAACGTTTTCAACCTGATTAACAGGCCATCATCAGGTCTAAAAAACGAAAATGGAACAGATACGTTCCATGTATAGAATATAAACGTGTTTTGGAAATGTTGAGTGAAATTAGTCTAGAATCGATTAATTTTATGGAAGAAAACCTTTCAAACAATCGAGTCCGTAAACTGCGCACGTGCCANTAATATTGGTTTATTATCAATTATTAAAAATTAAAGTAAAAAATACAACCCTTAAATAAACCACACCAAAGTGTTCTAATATTTTTGTTACTATCATAAAAAATCATTAGTATCATAAAATTATTATAATGCTGAAAATTAGAATTAAGAATTTTTCACTCATTTAAAATGCATAAAATAACCAGATTTTTTATACATAATATGGCATTTTGTTTTATCTCCAATTTCAGAATATCTAAATAAAATCTCTTACAAATTTATAGATTTAAGAAAAGCTATAATAATTGAAATGGTTTTAAAACTTAATGTAAAATGTTTAATCATGCATTAATATATTCTAATGATTTTAACTTCTGACATTTCAAAAATGAAGAAATGCTAAATGCTAGTTACTGTAGTGAATACCCAGAGGCACATTTCTGGGTTTAGTTTAGGTTGGCTAACTTACACTATTGACATTAAAAGTAAGCATTTACCAATGATAATGATCTTGTGAGTTTCTGGATATGAATTCCTATATCATTTTGACATCAAGAACATATCCAGGAGATACTTATGGTGCTGCAGCACTCCTTGATGCCAAAGCAATTTTGTTGTTTTAAAATAAATAAAATAATGAACATTGCATGAATTCAATTAGATAAGATTAGGAAACTAATGTAGTTACAGTCGACCCCCCTATAAGATATAGATACGTTCCAATTTATTAGGAATCCGATTTCTTACAAGTCGTTCCAATCACAGCCCGACACGTGTCAAGTTTACGGACTACGGCTGATTGAAAGATTTTCTTCCATAAAATTAATCGATTCTACACTAATCCGACTCAACATTTCCAAAATATGTATATTTTTTCGTAGTTTTATAGGAATCGTAATTATAGGGGGGTCGACTGTATAAGGTAATTGAATAGCATTCTCCAAAAAAATGGCAGGGAGCATATATCTTGGTCTCTCTGAATTGTCTTGAGCAGCACCCATATTCTCAAAATCCTGGATATGCCACAGTTTGACATCAAGTGTTAATGATGGCCTACAAGTTTTTATGACAATAAACAAAACATCAAAAGTTATCTAAACATTGATACTGCATGTGAGATCATTGTGTTCATTCTTGCATTTTTAATTGTGAATATTGATGAAATTCCTTGCTGATACCTACTAAGAGAAAATCCTTTCTTATTAACAGATTCCAGAAGAATAAATTAGCAATTTATGCTCCTAGAGAAACTGCACTTGTACTGTACAACTACAAACCTTACAACCATCTAATGCAGTAAAAATTTCCTTGTTCAAACATTTTCCATCATCTTAAACAATCTTCAGGAAATTACATTCTAATAGAATGAATGACTAGTTTTTTCAAAATTTTTCACATGGTGATTTAACTAATCTACTCTAAAGCTGCAATCCCTCTAAGTGCTAACTAAAGACTAGCATCAGTTTAGGACATGCTCCATCATTTGCAAGAGTCTTTCAGCTGGCTCTTCATTAAGCAAGATGTTTACTTTTCTGCATTGACAGAGTACTTGATCAATTCTGCTGAACATTCAAAGACATGAGATTTGTCAGTTTGGGTACAAATCTTGGTAAATTATACAGATCTCATAGGCATTTCCAAGCCTTACCATAAGTGCATGTTTATAATATTTAAACATTTTTTAACATCCATTCAGAGTTATTAACACAATTACCACTGCTAATTTTTCCAGATGTATCTAAGCATTCAACTGTCTGAAAGATATTTATGGATTGCCTGCATATTTTGAATATTTTATGCATTTTGTGCATCTTTGCACCTTGTATGTGGCATTTAGAATACTAATTTATTTTTAAAGCATATGCTTATGGAACCCAGTGTTTACTAGAACACTTTTCCTTTTTTCTGTATAGTTTATGTATGCAAATTTTGAGATGGGTTCAAATAAATGGTTTTAAAAAGTCAAAACCACAATATTTAATTTTAAAAACTTTAATATCTAGCATTCCGTTCACAGATGAGTCAAAATTCAGTTCACAATCACCCTCCACACATTTTTATCTTAAAAGATATTAAGGGATCTATAATTAACTTTCAAGGAAAGATACTAGGGTTTCTCATTTCCTGGTCTTTTGCTTGTCCCGGGATTCCAGAATAAAAGTGAACTGTTTCCCGGGATCCCAGGAAATCCTGGGACAGAATTAATTATTTTTAAGATATACAAAATATCATGAAATGAATGATATAATTATTTTTCATTTTTTAAAGTAATTTAATATGTTCTGCAACCTCCAAATCATATTAATAATGCTGTGTAAGATACATATTAAAAATTACCTTTGAATTATGTAGAAATTTTCACAAATAGAAAAATTTATTAAAGTTTGCTGGAAACTGCAAACAACAACAACAAAATGCTTTGAATTGAGTTGAAAATTTAAAAGAAATGATTCTAGATGAAACTTCTAACTTAGAAGATAATTTTTGTTTTTTAAATAAAACATAATACAAAATATTATTGTAAATTTTTATCATAAAATTTTAAAAAGCAATGATGATCAATACTCCGATCACTCAATCTGATTCTTATTTTAGTAATGAAAAGTCCTGCTTCCGAGAATGTCCTTTTCGATTTAATTGATGTTAGTGGTATCGTCTTTAATGCATTTAAGAGAATATGTTTTTTTTCACTTGTAGCCTGGAAGATTTCGAGTTCGTTTTCGAGATTGTAGTACTTCTTTTGCTCTCTACTATTCTTGATTTGTCTACCTCATCTGCTTTAATGGCGGCATCAAGCTTATAGCTTGATAATTCAGCAATTCGTTTGGCTTTAATAATCAGGTTTATGAAGAAAAACTTCATACTTAAAGACTTCGTACTCATTTGTATTATTGCCGAATTTGCACAACTTGGCGTTACATAGTTATTGAAGCTACTGGGCATGGTTAAAAATTAAGACAGCATAAGCACAATTATTCCAGATATTGCAGGTTCCAACAAGTAAAGAATTTTCAAAGTCCTGCCACAAATAAGCTACGTACTGATTATTGACCATTTGTGACATGCCATAACAAGGAAAAATTAAAAAAAACTAATAAGTAGGTTTAAAATTAATAAATACAAATGTATTCTGACAGTTTATCTGTTAATTATACTTTCTATTTGCAAAATTTCCTCAACCTTAACACAAAATAAGAAAAAAGTGAACTTTTAAGAAATTTGCGAGATTTCCCAGGATGAGAAGAATTTCCTGGGATATTTCCCGAGTTAAAAAAACAACCAGGATCCTGGGATCTTGTTTGAGAAACCCTAAAAGATATCTTTGGTAACAATGAGATGCTGGCTGGGTATTATGCTGATAAGTGCACACTGTGCTACAGGTTTACAAAAGATACTCTGATTGCTCAATATTACAGGAAAAAATTACCTGTCTTACAGTTGTTTCCAAAATACATTGAGCCAATTTCATTAACAATTTTTTACTTTTTTCAATAATTTCCTTATTATTATAAATTATACTCCTGATTAATCTTTGTAGTGATATGTAATAAATAACTTTTTTTCTTGATCAATTAAATTTACAGTATATAAGAAATTTTTACTTACTTTTCCATGAGAAATTAATTTAGTAAATGAATAATTTGGTTCTTGAGGCTGTGCAATTACTATAATAGGATTTTGAAATTTATCTATTAATTAAAAAAAATGAATTAATTGGAAAAATTTTTTAAATGATTTAAAATAATGTTTATTTTTTTAAGACAATAAGCTTATTTTAAGCTTTCCGTTAAAATAATCAGGAAACAGAAAATATTTTTTATTCATTAAAATATTTTCTGTTGTAATTTTAATTTTTTTGTTTATATTATAAACCAGCTGCAAGGACCCGCTTCGCTGGGTTTTTATTTGTATGTAATATAGTTTTTTTTTTATATATATAAAAGACTGTTTTTCTAAGTAATCTAGAATCTAGCTGCAAGGACCTGCTTCGCTGGACAAAAAGTAACAATAGTGACGATTAAGATAATTACATTATAGCTAATCTTAACCGTTTTCACAGAATGCAAGAATTAGGTCCCCCGTTTCCAGACTAATTAGAGAATTTTTACGTTTAGTCAAACGAACTATTTTCAACGTTTCTGGAACGTTTACAATCATTCTATAATCGAACTAATATTCGAATTTTATGTTCGAATTTAATTCGAACAAATTTGAACAAAACATTCGAAATAGAAAGCCACTTTCAACCACTTTCAGCCTCATATCTCCCGCACCCTTGTAGCTATTGAGACACAACCACCCCTATGCACGAATGGAGACTTGGGGCTACCACCACATATAAACACCATTCATGTGCGATGTGTAGTTTTGGCAGAAAAGTGAAATATAGGGACATACATGTCCATTTATATATATATATATATATATATATATAGATTATATATAATGCTAGAAGTTGTTATATAATTCTTTTTAAGTTATATTAGAACTTCTGAAAAAGCATAGCCAGAAAGAAGTTATTTGTTTAAATGCAAAAAACTATCAGTAACA